AAGTGAATTATCAGAATGGCTTCAAGTAATTCAGAGGATAGATTATAACGCCTGGCTGTGAATATGAATTCCAGATCCGAGAAATCTCTTTCTATTTGGACCTCCGTTGGAGGAATTGCATATAAAATGATCGCGATTTTATACAATCGAGGGTGATCGTTCTTGAACTGCTCCCAAAATCCAATTACCGATTGACTCGTGAGCATTTTTCCAGGTTGAAAACACTCAATTTCTTCCTCGATGCTATAAGTTATTGACGCAAATGTTGATGCTGTGATGTAGCTTCCGTTCGCCAAAAAATCATCAAGGGCTGTAGAATTGTCAAAGTCAATGCTCACATTCAAATCGCAGTCAGATGCTGAGTGATTGGCTGTTGTATCGGGCTGGTGAATACTTTCGATACGATTTGACAAATTTACTAATGATTCTACGGTTTTTTCGGCTATCTCTCTATCACGCAGAATTACGCATCTGTATCGTGGATCCAGGTAAAGAGCACATTGCATTAACGTGTTATTGACAACAATTCCCTTCCGTTGTTCTAAAGAAGCAAAAAGACATTCACCCATGTCGGTTCTTTGTAGCCGGCTTAATTCAGGACTGCGCAAATGAATCATAGTTTTCAGCCAAATCCCATAGGCATCAGGTAATGTAAGTTCACGACTTTGCAGAGCAATCGTCGCTTTGAATGGAACTTGCAAAATTTGAATGATTTCGATTAATTCGGCCCATCTTTTCCGCAGTAGTTTGGCTATTTTAATGTTTTTCATGTCAGCGAGATAAATTATTGCGTCTTTGTTACGATAAACACTCAACATCTGGAAAAACGTTTGAAACAAATCGAAATTTTCACATACTATTAATATGAGATATAGTAACCAATGAAGTATGATAAAGATGAATAAATATTACTTTCGCAAAATTCATGAAGTCAAATTTGAATGGATGCAAAAATTATAAATAAATTACCATGAGATACTTGGATCCCCAACGAGTTGCTACGTCGATTCGAGGTTTTTTGAAAACAATATTTTTTCCCTTCAGCATACAAATTGTTGTTTGTTTTCGCATAAACAGCGCGACACGGTGACAAAGTTCCATTGTGTTCTGACTTTTCTTCGAGACTGCTTTGAATGCGTCGTCAATTGCAAGCTGCAACGTGTGCGCGGCGCAGTTAACACCACTCACATCCCACATTACATTTAGTCCATATGAATTAGACATATTGTACTGAAACGCAGCCAATAAATTTTCATTTGCTTTAACCTGTTGTGTTGTTGGACCATCATGGTCACTTTCATCTCCATTCTCATACTCTGCTTCATCAAAAATGTGTTCCAAAAGATGATCATTTTCATCTTCACGTTCTTCTTCGGATGCCAAAATTGCCTCTATTTCTCGTTCAATCGCTTCATCATCCAATTGATTGTATGTGCGAATCGCTTCGTTGTTTTGATTTGCCTTGCTCGGAGATAGCAACTGCTCATTGATGGTTTCTTGCAAAATGTGATTCCAAATCTCACACCATTTTAAGGACGTTCGCTCCATTATCGGTGGTTATCGTTATGATTTTTCTGATGTCAATGCACAGCTCTTTCAATCGGTTGATAATAAGTTCCGCCAAGTAGACGCCTGTGTGTCGTTTCTCCAAGTGAATCATTCCAACAGAACGTGTAACAACTTTTCCATCCATTATGTATTGAATGCTAACGCCAAGTAGAGATCTCCCGCTTTTTGTTACAATGTCCACCAACAGCGAAATAGCACGATTTTGCATCACTTTCGATATTTTTTCTCGAACTTTCTGAGCGATATGTGTTGATTTCTTTTTCACTTCCTTCAAGTGCGGATCATTCAGGTGAAATTCTCTGCCAGCCCTTTTCAATTCTTGCAACACATTCTCATTCATTAACAGAATACCGGAATCGTTCAAATTTCGGAATGGTCTTCCATTAATTGTTACCGTTTCGACGCAAGCATGCAATAGTTTTAGTCGTTTATATTCAATTAACGAATTTACACTACAAACGCTTTTATGAATTTCCTTATGTTTCGTAGCAAGATGTGTTGTTAAATTGCTGCTTTTTGCCCCGCTATATATTTTGTGACAAAACGTACACTCATACAATTTTTTCTCACCATCTTTTAAAATAAAATACTCTTTGGACTTTGTTGTTTTTAATAATTTTGCTCGGCGTTGCCGGTGGTGTTTCTTCAACTTTTCTCTTTTTCAAACATTCAAAATATGCTAAATAATATCAGAATAATACTTCTCGTATCCAGATATATGGTTGCGTTAGCAGCCACGGCAGCCGCAATCGTTCTGACGAAGCAAGGCGAAAGAAGAACGCGCATTCACATAGAGGAGAAATACAGCGCATACACATCGTCCTTAAAACACGAACCAATGGCTACTGTGATATTTTAACGACGATGTGTATGCGCACTGTACTTCCCCTCTATGTGAATGCGCGCTCTTCTTTCGTCTTCTTCCGTCGGAACGATTACGGCTGCCGTTGCTGCTAACGCAACCATATATCTGGATACGAGAAGTATTATTCTGATATTATTTAGCATATTTTGAATGTTTGCTCTTTTTTGTCGGAGTCTCCATTTTTATTGTTGCATTCAAACGATGAAAAAATCAAATGTATTTGCCATATGCTAGCGGTCACACGATTTACTATAAACTGAGTAAAGCGCGTACATAAACAGAACGTCAGACACGTTGGCGCCACTCTAGTGCATTTGATTTGTGCATTTGGGTGCGTGGCGTAAGGACAAAGAGTCTGTGATTTAATTGCGTTAGCAAATTTGAAAAAAGACATAGCGCCACCCGAACAAGTGTTTATGTGGGTGGTAGTACGACACAGATGCACGGCACTTAAGGTGTCAAACGGACACTCGTTTGTCCGTCCGTCCGTCCGTCCTTTTGAACATTTAGGACGGACAAAAAAAAAATGTTTGTACTTTAAATTTTTTTTTGTCCGTCCCAAATCTATTGACTAGATCGAGAGGAGAGTAAGTTCATCTGACTTTGTTGTGAAAGAGAAGAGTAAGTTTCTTTCGACTCAAAAATGGTTAAAGGTGAGTATGTTCATTTTTGGTGGGTCCTCGCGGTTTTCCACGGTTTCCGCGGAACTGATAAGAGATAAGAGATAGATGTCTTCAGCAATGTTAAAGAAAACCTCAAGTACTACAACTTTGCCGAAGACACCATGTTGTTATCTTTTATCAGTTTCGCAGAAACCGTGAAAAACCGCGGAGGCTAGACGGGATGCCAACATACTTCCTTTTAACGCAGATAGAATCAACAGAAATCATACTCTCCTCTTTCAAAATATATTAGAATTTTTTCACATACTCTCCTCTCGATCTAGTCAATAGAAATGTTCGAAAGGACGGACGGACAGCAAATGTCCGTCCGTTTGACACCTTTACACGGCACTCCAAAGCGTTGATTCTATACGCGTCAAAACATTTCAAATTAAACGGTCAAATAGGTTCTGTACGCAAAAATCACGTCGCAATATATTACTCGCACAAATCAATCGATGTGAACTATTTTGTGAAAAGTTTGGTTCCAAAATGTTTGTTTCTGTGTATTTGACTGATGCACACAAACATTCCGTCGTGCCTCAGGAATTTATTCTGGATTTAAGTCAAGTCAATTTGAATAACAATGGTGTGAATTCAAACCAAAACCGTCGAATCTACTTTTCAAAAGAATTGTTCGAATCACTTAAAAATGGCGAAGATACATCTCGTATGGACTATACTCCAAACTTCAACATTCCGATCTCAAAAATCTATCCATTACCGAATGGATTGGGAGAAACTTGCTTCATTGGTCGTTTGAAAAAATTTTTCTGTAAGTAGACAAAAAATCACAAGACATGGTTTGATAAAAATCAATCAAATATTTTTGATTTTCTCACAAGTATCCTTCAATGATGCATTGAACCACGTCGAACGAATGCGCTCAAAGTTGCCAGCCGTTTACAATCCAGCGCGCTCTCTTGAGCAACCCATTCCACGAGTTGTAATTGGCGACAACGAGCGTGAGTCAGATGATGAGAATTCAGCTGATGAAAGTGCTGAAGGGTCAATTTATGAAGATTATGGCCATGACATTGAACCGATACAACACAACGATACGTTTGAGGGAGAAGAAGAAGAAGAAAATCAAGTTGATGCAAAGCCACCAATTCTCGGGGAAATTCAATTGGCCACGGAAGACGCTGCTGCATTTGATTCCATGTTCACTTGTGAACAAACACAAGCCGATGACGATAACGATAGTGACAGCTCTAGTGATGTGGAATACACTTTCACTTCGCATGAGAATTGGCCGAAGCCTTTTATTGAAAATGAGTTCCAAATCAAGGCACATGATATGCTATCGAACAATCGCCCATTCAAACAAAATGTTAGTTCTGTTTTCATTTGTTTTAAATAATTGAATGAATTTAATTCTAATTTGTGTTTATCATCGAAGGATAACGGTGACCGTGCATTCCAAATCGAGGTACGTAGTGGTGTTAAAGAGGTTTTGTTATCGGCTGTGGCTGTAAAAGGCCTGATCAAACTGAACACACAAAAACGTACCGACCAAAAAGTTGACAAGACATTCTTGAAAGCGTTAGTGATTGGAGTTTGTTCGATTAAACGTTTCATGGAATCACCAGATTTGATGCCATTCAAAAATGGGGAAATCGAATTCATAAAAGGTAAAATCGATTTGTTTGTAGAGTGATCGAATCATTTACTTTATTTTTCGTTAGCAGATCTGTTCGAATTTCGCGTGGATGGTGATAATACCC